TATATATATATATATATATATATATATATATTAGATGAATAATGAAACTTCAAAAACTTGAAAATGACAAATTTTGCCTTGGCAACTTATTGATATAAAATAAGTTGAACTGCTAAACTAACTAAATTAAAATTAATTAATTAATTAATTAAAGCTAAATATAAATATTTTGTGAATTTTTTTTTAAAACTGACAAGCACATAACAAACTAAAAATTAAAATGAAATCTGAAAATAAAAAAATACAATATGAATTGAATAATACTAAAATAACACAAGAAAGTCTATTTTAATAAAAATCAACCACTGAGACATAAATGTTATGCAAACATATGCGGAAGATTGTTAATGCACAGGTGAGAATATGAAGAAGAGATATGAAGATAAATGAACGTTAGGAGAGTATTCCCTGAGTGCTGGTGTGGGAACATATACGGATCTGCTTTGTGCTGCTGTAATCTCAGATGAGATTTGAAGAGCCTCCATGAAACCAAGCACCTTGACCCAGCATTCGTTTTTCAAATACGGCTCCTCCATACAAAAGAAATTTGTCAGCTTTGTTCCAGAACAAGGCTGAGTACCGCAGGGATACAGTGTCATGCTTAAGGGCATAATGGTGATGAAGCACACTGATGCGTCATCCATTTCTCATTTACTCCCACTTGTCAGCTGTCTTGGGATTGAACCCAGATATTTAACTATTCATCTACCAGCAGTGATTGTCGGCTCTTTGTTTTGGATCCTTATTTTCATGATGTTCTTTTTTTGGGGCAGGGCATACATGAACCTAATGGACCTACGCAAGAGTATTTCCGGCTCGGGGGGGGGGGGGGTGTTGTGGGTCAATGACATGATGCCCTTTCTTTGTCTGGGTCAATTAATGTAGTATTCAAAAAAGCATTAGCAATTAAATTTGTGCGTACAATAACTTGAATACACATTTATGATGAGCATAATTTAAATTCCTGAATAAAAAAATTATTATTATATTTTTTAAAGGGGGAAATATGTCCGGTTGGTTTAACTGTACAAATATCATACAGAAAAGGAATATCATGAAGACAAAAGCCTCATTAAAAGAATAATTTATTTAGTAGCTTGGCTTAACCTTTTAATATTATTTATTAGATATTTTACAAAACAGCTTCACTACTAATTAATGTTGTTTATTAGTAATTAAAAAAAAACAAAAACTTTTGTCCACCAAATTAAAATCATATGGTGTAACCAACATAAAGAAAAAAGTGCAATAATTATTGTAAAATATCAGATAATTTGACATTTTTATAACAAGTTAATTCATGTTGTTAAATGTCATGTGGTGCAACTTAGAGGTCTGCATTCCCGCGGCTCTCCTGTGGGAACAGCGGGACCCGACCAGATTTTTTGCGCAGAGGGATTAAATTCCAGAATAAAACGCGGTAGCGGTCGGTAACTCTTGTGTAATTTGAACGGGAGCGGGAGTGGGAGCGGGCAGTCTAACAATATCCCGTTCCCGACGTCCATTCAGAACAGCATATCTGCGCTTTATTCTTATTGACCACCGGTATGCACTCGGACTGTTATGCATGCGCTGCACGCATGCTTTCTGCATCACGCATTTTATTTGCGGGGTCTGTGCGCAGCATGTGCGTAACGATGCTCAGAGCAGGCTGTACTGGTGGTAAATATACGGCCCTCAGACAGAACAGGCAGGTTATCGATGAGTGACAGAGCAGAATAAGGATGGAGCAAAGTGTGGAATCGCTGTCCTTGAAGGACGTTCAACTCGGTTTTGTTTATATTTTGCTTAGCCTATCATTTTAAATGATAGATGTCGTATTTATTTATTTTTCTCTGCGACTTTCCTACTATGTTAACAGAAAAATGTCAGACGAATTTAGTATTTTGACAAGACGAATAAAAATACACTGAACAAAATTATAAACGCAACACTTTTGTTTTTGCCCCCATTTTTCATGAGCTGAACTCAAAGATC